GTTGATTAAATTAAAAATAAATTAAAATATTAAAGTTTAAATTGACAAATCTAAAAACTCAATGTTTATTTTATTACAATAGTCAAATCTTGAGGTATGTGCTCCAGGACTATTGGGAATTTATAGATAGAATACATATTCTTATTCATCATTAATGGCACCAAAGATTTACATTAATAAATTTGTATTTTAAGGGTTATTTGGGATAATTTAAATAAGTGTATTTTTTCACTTTTTATAAAATATGAGTTGAATTTGAAGTGATGTGGTAGAGAGGTGATGTGATTTAAATAAGATGATATGACTTAAATAGGATGGTGGCTTTTTTAGGAGATGCCAAACTTAATCTTAATTTCAAATTTAAAAGGTTGTGTTAGGAACACAAAAAATTTTAAATATAGAATATATGAATGTGAGATAAAAAAAAAATTTACATTTGTAATTGTAAACATACGAATATATGCATCACATCTGTATATTCTATATTTAGAACTATTTGTACTTCTATATTTTTTTTACTTAAATTAATTTATAATGAATTGATAATTATAAATCATTGATATGATGGATTACAATTTTATTAAATGAAATATTTCTTTCACAATACTTATGTCTATTTATGTACGAAACTAGCTCGATTGAATTAATTACACCTAACACTCATTTACTTTTATTATGATCTCACTTTGGTTTCATCATTTTTAATTGTCTCTTTAACTTTTTATACTTTAAGTCAAGTTTCAATGTCATCTTTCTGTCCATCTATCATTAACAAGGCTGATGAAACTTGTTATGTGAGCTACCGTAAATTACACTCACCTCTTTTTAGGTTTAAAAAAAATACAATTCGCTTCATACTTTTGACATAATTGACCTCCATTAGGATTTTAATTCATAAAACAGTTAAACACTTTTCATCTATAAATCTTTAGTCGTATAAATAAAAAAAGATAATGTTTCCATCTATTTTTTACTAAAATATATATTTACCTTTATTTATTTTAATATTTGTTTATTATCAACATTAGTTTTAGTTATTTTAGTCTTACAAAAAAGAAGATCAGTATAATAATGATGTCAAAGTGTGGAGCTAATTGTATTTTTTTTTTTCAAACCTCAAGGGAGGTGAGTGTAATCTATCCTTTTTTTTTAAAAAAAAAAAAAAAATTGTACCGAAGTATTTTATGCAAATTTTGCTTACAACTTATGAGACAAAAATAACTTAAATAAACCAAAAGCAAATTGATTATTGAGAAGCTAAGAGAGAAATGATTTTAACGTTTATTATTTTTTTATTAACTTTTTAGTTTGTAGAAGTTAACCAAACAAGACTTTATTTTGTATTTTTTATAGACTTTACATTAAAAGAGATTTACAATGAAAATATAATAAATGTATAGAAAATTCATGAGAATAAACATATAGTTATTGTTAGAAGAAAACAAAAAGTTAATTATTATTATTTTGTGTAAATTACAGTACAAAAAAATAACGAAGTGCTACCATAAAATTTTACTATAAATTTATCATATTTAAAACTTATTAAGCTTAATTTTGAAGTTACTCTATGTAAATATTCATCACAAAATTGATTAAGGTAGGGAAAAGTGCAAAAGTGTGCATTTGCCTTGAAATGGACAACTTCTTTTAGTCAATTGGACAACTTAACACAACACTCTGTCATATATTAGCAAAATATTAAGGTTAAACATGTAATTTTAGTAATTTTCATTTCATAAAAGGTAACTCAAAACGAAATGACTATATACAAAATGATTTTATTAGGAAGGAATAAAGGTAACATCAAAAGCTAACAAAGAATAAAGCAAAACAGGTGGCTTGCATGAAGTTGGAGTTCGGATAGTAAAGCCCTTTGAACATTCTAGCCCAAAAAGAGTTGGACTTGCTCCAACTTAAGTATCAAATACAGTAAAATGTTCATTACAATTTAGGTAGTAGATCCTAATAGTTGAATTTAATTCACACAAAGTCCTATTAAAAATAAGTTATAGTAAAATCGTCGGTAAAAATAAATTTTTGTGACGATTTTTTACATATATTGCTAAAAATTGACAATTATTGACTTTTTTTATCACGATTTTTATAAATTATTGATAAAACTTACAATTAATGATATTTTTCTGTGACGAACTTTTCAAATTATCACTGAAAGTTAAAAATTAGTGTTTTTTTGTTACAATTTTTTAAATTGTCTTTAAAACTTAAAATCAGTGATATTTTTGTAACAAAATTTTCAAACTGTCACTGAAAATTAACAATTAGTGACATTTTTTAATAGTATTTGATAAGAATCGTAATGAATTATCATAGGACTTATTGAATAATAAGTTCACCTATTAAAATCTATACATAAGTTCTCCTAACAAATATTGACTATTAGTAGAATGAATAATTCACGGGTGATGAAAACATTTTTTACAATGCTATTATGTTTATCATTTGTCTTTGTCATAAAAAAAATATTTTGAACTTCTGAAACATCCCTTAAGTGATCTCAATGACGTGGACTGTTGAATGTTAATTGTTGATTTGTTTAAAAATCAGCCAACTAATACCCAATCTCTTTTTTTTTTTGGGCTAGAAAAGTGTAGTGTTAAATTCTTTAACTATTTGGTGATAATTTTTTTTTCTCCAAGCATTTGATTTGATTTGATTTTTTTTTAAAGTGGAGGAGAGCAAGATGGTACTTCTGCCAAAAAATTTCATGCCATGTTTATCCTCCTCGTTACTGCTTTGAGTACATTACTCCAGGTGAAGTATCAAAGCAAAAATATTCCCCATTCGAAACTCACTACAAAACTATCAAAGCTTTCATTGTTGCTATATTCTTCTATGTCATTGCTTTGGCAGCTGAAATTAGAACTTGGACTCAATATACAATTAATCGTGCAATCTGTGATCAAATCAGTATCTTCTTAGGAGCTCTCGCACCAATTCTATCGCTCATAGCTCTTGTCCCGGCTTTTGGATGGATTCTTTTGGTTTTATGGGGTTTTTTTCTTTGCAAAGGTATTGCATCGATCATGTGTTGATTTGATTTACCAAATTTTGTTGAATGTGTTACAAATTTTGTTGACGGAGCAATCATACAGTTTACCTGTGTAATGGCAGTTCCACTCTAACTAAGCTTTGTGATCAATGTAATTAATTGTCAACTTACATTATTTCCTTACCAAAAAACATTGGTTTCTATGTAATAGTAGTCATTTCTATTGCACTATGTTATATTGTCATCATATCGTGTTCTAAACTTATTCTACCTTATAAATGGATTTGTCAGTTGAGTTATTCTAATCATTTAATTTTAGTAGATCCATTAAGTTACCGATGATTTGTTATTGCACCTCACATCAAATTATAAGAAAGGAAAACATAGTATAAATTTTATATCCTCTTTTCATTAACAAATACGACATTTATTATATCATTGAAATAGATTATGTTTTAATTTCTAAAGTTTCTTAATTGTCACATCAACATGATTTTAAACCCTATATACTCTTAATTTTTTCTTGGTTCCAATGTTTGCACTAGATTTACAGTTTTTGACATATTTAAGTAAATTAATAAATGCTTTATCCTTTAGGTTTTTTTATGCATATTGGTGACTTTGCCTCTTCTCATACAACGAAGATTTCTTGGAAAACAATTTTAAATCTTAGAATTAAAATTAAATAACTAACTCATACTTGTTAATCAAAATACAGTATATATGCTAGTTAAACCTTTTTAAAAACTTTAATGGTGTTTTCAATCACTACCCAATTGAGACAATAAACTAAGAACCTAGCAATCATATAGAGAATTTAGCATTCGGTTTATTCTATAGAAGCTTTTTTTTATTATTTTTTTTAATTTTAGTGTCTGATATGTTAGAAATAAAAGTTAATGATAAAAAGAGGTAAATTACAAATATATCCCTGAGATTTGTTTAAAATACGAATTGCACGCTGTGATTTGGAAAATTATAAATACATCCCTGTCAGAATATTTTATTTAACAGAATTAATTGAAAAAGTGAAATTTCTAACTGTTCACCTACATAATAATAAAATTATCTGAATCATTCATTAAAATAAAATTTTAACATTATTAAACTATTAATTAACTTGATAATTTATTAATAAAATGACCTATTTGTTATGAAATTAGAAACTTTAGGGGGCATAATGTAATTTCTAAAACTACAGAAATAATTTGTAATTTAAGTAAACCTCTGTGGGTGTGTTTGTAATTTACCCAAAATAAAAATAAAAGGAGTTGATTTTGGTCGAAAACGCTTTTTTTTTCTTTTTTCTTTGCTTTAAAAAAAAAAAAACAGAAAATACTATGTTACAAATTAGAGTCTTGTAAAAGCCTCCTCCAACACACTACCACCACCATGTTGCCGCCACCTCGCAACCACCAACACTCCCGAACCAATATTACATTATTTTTAAGGTTGCAACAAACATAAAAAAAGAAAAAGAAAAAGAAAAAAAAAAGGAAGAGGTTTTCTGCTAACAAATGGAGTATATCATGAAGAATCAAAGAATAGAATTATAGGACACAGCAAAAGTACAAGATCATATTTTGAACTATGACAAAAGATTACTAACCTGGTTGTAGAGAGACAAGGATAGAAAAAGAGAACACCACCAGGTCCAAAGCTCTTCTTTCTTTCTGGGATTTTTTCCTCCTTTCTGTTTGTTGGAGCCTTTTAAAGTCATCCAAGTTGTCAAAACTCTCCTTTTCTTTTCAAGTTGGTAATAAAATATTCAATCAATTATTTTGTCTATATAAATATATAGACAAAATAAAGTGCTGATCAAAATATATATAGACAAACAAAAAAAAGTATAGTCAATTACATTTACATGCTATCTTTGGATGATTTTCATTGAGGCCAATATAGAAATAATGTATATTCAAAGATTCCAAACTTACTTATTTCATGTAAGGACTAAAAAAGGATAAATAAATCTATGGTAATAGTTAAGTGTAAATCAAATTTCAACTTCTTAATATCACAAGATAATAAGATCTCCGAAAAATTAATATACTTCCAAGAAACATTTCAAATTAGCAAGGATCATACATGTTCATCTACCAAATAAAGAAGAAGAAGATAATAATAACCCTTCTGTCTAAATTACCTCAAACACTTAAAATACATGTTCTGGAGTTATGTTCCAATTTATGAAATCAACCTCATTCTGTAGCCATAGACAGAGTGGATCATCAAACATGTCATTCTCCATTGCCTCAGAAATTAATTCAAAGTGTGGAAAATCATCCAAATTTTTCCATCATCAATACATTCATCTTTGTATAGTCATCATCTGTCTTGGGCATCAACTTTTTTATCTTGCATGATGAGCTACAAGGTTGGCTCAAAATTCTTACAGCATATTTTTTCAGTACTGGTAGATGCTCACCACAATAATGCCACCATAAACCTACTCATAGTAGACAATGTAACACTAAATATTAAAATTTAGCTATACAAGAATGTAGATAATTTAAATAAAAAGTAATGAAACTTACGTGGATGTGATGTTTTTGACATCTTCAATGCTGTAGTTGTGAAAACATTTGGTGCTTTCATGCGATACAATTGTACCTGTTCTGCAAAAGCTTGTTTTTCACTTGCAGCGACCAAGTTATCCTCAATAAAGCTTATGCTTTCTTTCATTTCAAGATCCTCCACGAAGTTCTCATTACACATGATGTCAGGGTTTAAAAAGGCTGCAGCTGCATGTATTGGATGAATTATATCATTCATTTTTCTTTCTTCAAACAAGTCTAGAATTAGCTTGTATTTGGCTTGATCTTCATTACAACATTGCCTAATTTCAGTGCTTGCCTTTTTCATTGCTTCATATAAGTAACCTGAAGTAGGAGCATCACCACTAACTAATCGGAGAACTTGAAATAGGATATCGACAATATGTAACACCTCTTCCACTAATGTCCAAAATGGTGTGCTCTCAATGACAGTGGCAACCCACTTCGCCAACTCTTGCATATTAAAATCCAAGCTTTTCCAATCTAAAGATGCATCTAGTAATTGTAAGTCCTTCAATTCAGCTTCAAATTCTGAAATTGAGTGGAGCAACAAAAAGTTGGAGGCAAATCTAGCTAGACAAGGATGTTCAAATTTCTTGTATGTTGTGTGTTTTTCTATTTGACGAGACAGACTGAAAGGGCGCTTATCTATATAAGAGAGAATCATTTTTCCAGCCATGGTAACCCTTCGAACCCAATCAACTTTTGAAAATAAATCCATTAAAAGTGATTGAATGCCATGAATTGCACATCTAGTTTTGTACACCTGAGGATACTCTAAAAGAATGTATTCGGTTAAATCAAAACCTTCATCGTTGTCAACGATAAGTTGTAGAACCTTGTCGACCCCAATTTTATCAATTGTAGAAGACACAATGTCTTTAAGATAAATCCAGGTCATCCGATCCCTTGAGGTTACCGATGACTTTAAAAACACTACCCCTTTTGGACAATATGAAAAAACATTAACACATGAATGTTCATCGGCATTCTCTATATCAACCATCAATGTACAACCTGTTACAACCCAAGATTCTTTAGCATTTCGAACATACTCCGAAATTTCCCTATCATAATCCAAGACTAACTTGGCGTGCTCAACCATGTTTGGCACTTCATAATCGGGGCCAAATTGACTAACCCCTTTCACGAAGTCAATGAAAGCTTGTGATCAAACCTCATCCGGAGTAACAAAATAAAAAAGACAGAATTTCAATAACTTTTTGTCGACTACGACCTTTTTTACCAGACAAATGTGATTTGATTCTTGATATCCCTCCAGAAAATTCTTTTTGACAAAAGTTACACTTAAAACGACCATTTAAATCTTCCACGTACTCCCAAAATCGATCTCTTTTCTTGGGCATAGTTCGTTTTATCCTACATGTAATAAAATAATCAAATCATTTCAAGCCATAAGAAAACAAACGATCATCGCCAACAAAGCTTATGATTCACAATTTGGTCGACATAATATAATTATTTGTTGAAAAATTAATAATAAATAATCACCACAAATACTTTATAAAGATCAAATATTATTATGTAACAATTTTGTACCAGCCTGTATCACTTCCAATGGTCTATAACTTGGCAATTCTATCTAATTTCAATTCCCTCAGGTCATGTTTGATTCACAAAATTAATAGTGAAGTATTAATAATCATATTAAATAAATTAGTGTGGTATTCACTATCCAATTGGATTAATATCCATTGGATTAATAATCACACCCCTACCCCATTACTAATAATACTACAAATTTGTTGGATTAATTATCCTAAACCAAAATGTTAAAACAAACATAGGATAATTGGGCCACGAATAAATAATCCCAATCCCATGCTCTAATCTACCCAATCAAACATGCCCTCAACATTTTTTTAGGCAAATTAAGTGATTTTAAGGCCTATCGGTTGTATTCTTAATCTTTTCTTGTTTCCAATGTTTACACAAAGAATTAATTACACAAAAATCCAATGAACTATTGTCAAGTATCACCTTGACCGCCTAAATTAAAAAGCATACGACTAGGCCCCATACTTGAGACTTCAAATTAGAAGCACATAAGCCAATCTGGAATCTTGTTGAATTTGTAATTTAAGAAACTAAGAAACTAGTATTATCTAAGAAACTAGTTGTGATTTATTACATAAAATTCAAAAAAAAAAAAAAAAAAAAAAAAAAAAAAAGAAAAGAAGAGAACAGAAAAAAAACCCTCAATCACAAGAAAAGAAACTCAAGTTCTTTTATTCATACTAATGTACATATTTGGATCTTAGATTTGTTATGTATAAAAAAGAAAAGAAAAAGAAAAGAAAAAAAAAACTTCTATTTAATTCACTTCTTTTCTTTTCCATTCACAAACTTCTCTGTAAATTCAAGATCCAAAAGAAAAGAAAAGAAAAGAAAAGACGATTCATCAAAGAAAAGAATTAAAGATGACAAGAATACTGGTATTATATCAGATTTTTAACAATCTCAGGAACATTACCTGGTTGCAGAGAGAGATAGAGAGAAGAAGAATAGCAAGAGAGAACACCAAGAGGCCCTGAAAGTCTCTTTCTTTTTGTCTTCTTGTTTTATCAATTACAAGTAGATGGGGAAATGGTTCCCTTCCTCTCTGTTTCTTCTATTTTAATACTGATTGCAAGAACCGAGAGTCAACCGAAGTCAAGGATTGACTGTTAGATCCCAGAGTCCATCGAACTCTTTCATATATATCAAACGATTTTTTTTATTTTAAGCCGAACTATACGGGACATCCTGTATTATATGGTTGAGTTTGTAGAAAAACGCGTATTTTCACCGACACTCCAGTTCCCCTTGTCAAGAAGAAAAAGCGGCTAGAGACGTGTTTAAAGTATGAGCAATGGTAGAGGGCCCAAATTTTGTGGCTCAAATGTGGTTCAAATGGTCAAAATGACGTCGTTTTGAGTACAATCGTTTTGGCCATTTGAGCCACATTTGAGCCACAGAATTAGGGCCTTCAAACATTTTTCTTAAAGTATTTAAGTATGTGATGATTACATTAAAAAATACAAAAAAAAAAAATATCTGTAACACATGATGAGGTCTTAATTATTTAAAGAGCAATGGTAGAGGATTCAAATTCTGTGGCTCAAATGTGGTTCAAATGGCCAAAACGACGTCGTTTTGAGTACAAAACAACATCAAAATGGCCAAAACGACGTCGTTTTGGCCATTTGAGCCACATTTGAGCCACAGAATTAGGGCTCCCAAACATTTTTCTTATTTAAAACATATGAATGAAGTGTTTATTTTAATAAAAAATTAAATATGATACGATCATATGATTATAAATATTAAATTAATTTAATTTTTTTGTTAAATGATATATTTAATAAATTTTATAAAATAAATAATTTAAATTACCAAAATAAATACATGATAAGTCCATTAAACAAGACAACTTTGACCATCTTTTTTACAAATTAACTAACTGATCTAACAATACTTCAATTTATAAATCACAAAAAATTATATAATTATTTTAAAAAAATAAATTACACATAATTCAAACCACAAAAATAAGTGAAATTTGTCCACGAATCTTAGGGATTGTTTAGAGTGTTTTAAATAAGTATACTTTTTATCTTTTTGAATTAAAAAGATTCTAGAAAAAATATGAATGTTTAGATTAATTTTATCTTTTTATGAAAAAATACGTATTAAAATATTATATAAATAAGTGTGTAAGAGAAGAGGGTGGGAATAGGTTGTACGGTTTGCACAGCTGAGCAGAGTAGTGGGTAGCGGGAGAAGATTGTCTCCTTTTCGGGCAAGTTTTGGATGGGCTGTTCGGCTGGTGGGGGACACCACGGGTCCCATTTTGCTAATTTGAACCTTTCAATGTGTAGAACTCGTCGAGTACTATATGTCTATTAAAAATCATGTTGATCGGATATCAATAGTTATTTGATCGGATTTGTTTTTTTAACAGTTAAATATAAGACAATCCATTTTTTAAAACAAAACATCATTTGATCAAATAGTTAACGATATCCGATCAATGTGATTTTTTACTGACATATATTATTCAACGAGTTCTATATATTGAATGGTTCGGATTATCAAAACGAGACACATAATGGGCCCCCATGGGCCCAACATTACCGTCCATATATATAATTATATATATGTAATTTTTTTTTTAGTTTTCGGCCGTGTGAGGTGCCGCTGCTCATCAACGAGATGGACAGTTTAACAGTGATAAAATATATTTTTTATTAAAATATTTTATAAATTATTTTTTTAATATTTTTTATTTGTGAATAGTGATAACTTTTTTACATTTCATATAATTTTTTGACTTTTTTAATTTGGACAAATTACAAACACCCCCTCGAGGTTTGATAAAAATACAAATTTCCCCTTGAAGTTTGAGAAATTACAAATTGTCCCCTCAGGGTCAAATTTTCATAACAAATTAAGAGAAATTAGGAGGGAATCTGTATGAAAATAAAAACCTCATGAGACAATTTGTTATGAAAATATAAACCTTAGAAAGTTAAATGTAATTTTTCAAATCTCAAAAAAAAATCTGTATTTTCACCAAACTTCAACAAAGCTATTTATAATTTGTCCTTTAAATTTTTTTTTGTGACATGTCAAACCTGTCCTTAATTTCGCCACATTCTCTCCCTCTCTCTCATCCGATAATGATTATAATGGCTCTGGTCATTTCTACCAAAAAGTGCCAAAACAAAAAGTCCATAGGTGCCATTAAACTGCCTGGAATCATCTTTTTTTACAATTAAGGCTGGTTTGGCATAAATTAATAATTTATTTTTTTATCTTTTTATCTTTTTATTATTACATCACTTCTTTATTTTTTTATACATCTTTTTATAAAAAGATAAAAAGTGCATATTTTTAGGACATCTCAAACCAACCCTTAACCGATCTAGCAATACTTCAATTTACAAATCACAGAGAATTATATAACTATTTTAAAAAAATAAATCACACATAATTCAAACCATAAAAATAAGTGAAATTTGTCCACGAATCTTAAGAGTTGTTTGGGGTGCCTTAAATAAGTGTACTTTTTGTCTTTTTAGACTAAAAAGATTCCAAAAAAAGATGAATGTTTGGATTAATTTTTTGTCTTTTTACGAAAAAAATATGTATTAAAACATTGTATAAATCTATATAATAAGGGAGAAGCGTTTTTGAAAATATGTAAAAATGTATGTGAGATACATTTTGATCCAACGGTGCAGATCAAATCTATTAACGGTGCAGATCAATTCTGAGATCATATATTCCTGCTCAAATATCTCTCTCCCTCACCCGCCCACCTACTCACGTCTCTCTCCCACTTTCTGTTCTCACCCACCTTTGTTCATCATCACCACTGCTCATCACCTTTGCTCAAATATCTCTCTTCCGCTCAAATACATTCGCCGCTACTCATCATCACCACTCGCAAGCGTTTTTGAAAATATGTAAAAATGTATGTGAGATACATTTTGATCCAACGGTGCAGATCAATTCTGACCTTCTCTCCCTCACCCGTCCACCTACTCACGTCTCTCTCCCACTTTCTGTTCTCACCCACCTTTGCTCATCATCACCACTGCTCATCACCTTTGCTCAAATATCTCTCTCCCGCTCAAATACATTCGCCGCTACTCATCATCACCACTCGCAAGGGTTCGATTTCGCTTGGTTCGCAAGGTAATATCCTCCATTTCTGTCTCTCCCCTCACTTTCTGTTTCGATTTCTGATCTGTTCGATTTCGATTTTTCATCAAGGTTCTGTTTCGATGATTTCTCACCACTCGCAAGGCTCTGCTTCAAGGTTCTCACCCTCCCTTGGCTAGCAAGGTAATATCGATTTCTGCCTCTCACCTTCTCTCTCTGTTTCGCTTTGATTCATGGTGCAGTCATCTGTAACCCTCGCACTTTGGTTTTTATTTTTTTGGTAACGTTTGGTAGCCATCACCCCGCTCGACCTTACCACCACATACATGGGCTGTCTTGCTCCTCCATTTTCCACATACATATGTTCTGGGCTGTCGTGCTCCTCCATTTTCCTCTCTCCCCTCTCTCTCTCTCTCTCTCTCTCTCTCTCTCTCTCTCTCTCTCTTATCTTCTCTCTTTTCCTTCCCTCTAACAGCTTCAGAGTTCAGAGCTCTGGTTCAAGAACTCACTGGCCAAGAACTCACTGGTTCAAGAACTCACTGTGTTGGAGGCAATCAAATGGTCTCTGATCATCATGATCATGATCATGCACTGGAAGCAAGAAACATAATACACCCATTTCAAAAGGTTTTTCAAAATCATAAAAAATCAACACTCATTTTTCATTAAGGAATTAAATCCATTTCATAAAATCAAACTGAAAATAAAAATACATTTCTAAAATCAAAATCGATTTTATGAAGATCAAGTATTATTTCATAAGAACAACAAAAGAGTAATTCCAATTTCAAGTGTAAACATAACAAATTGGTTAGACCCAAGGATCTCAAGTCTCAAGAACAGGTTATAATTGCTTCTTTGGAGTCCTTTTCATTGCATGTGTACACAACCAGATAGACTGTTTGATTAGCAATTAGATAGTTCCTTCTCAAAAATTTAAAAAATGAAATAAGGGACTATTTCTTTTGGGGTAAACTTATGTACACAAAAACAGAATGGCAACCAGATAGACTGTTTGATTAGCAATGAGATAGTTCCTTCTCAAAAATTTAAAAAATGAAATAAGGGACCAAATGAGAATGGAACACAAAAACAGAATGGATTGCAAATAAATCGTAAAATAACCTTCGAGTAGTTGTGCCACCAAGGTTTTCGAAGCATTGAAGCTTCAATCTTCGAGTAGTACACTCATGTCTTATAAATCTGTGTTTTTATCAAATTCTTTGCAGGTTAGTTTGGCATAGCAAAGTTCATAAGAGCATCCAATCCACGTAAGACTTTGAACTCGCTGCTCTTGATCGCTGTTGTGTTTTTCCCTTTCTCTGCTCTTGACTGCTGTTGTTGGTTGATTATGTTGTTTGGATTTATTGTTTGAATTTTGAATCCTGAAGGATTTGTTGGTTGATAATTTTTTTTTTTGTATTACTTTTAGATTTCATGTACAGCACACACTGCTTTCCTTTTGAAATGGTCGGCCTTCTATTTTACATGTAACTTTATAGAGATATGTCCAATTTTATGCCAGAACACTTTCTAAAAAGAAACATAATACACTATTTATTGAATTCACTGAAATCAGAACACTTTCTAATCATTTCACCTATTTTCACAACACTTTTACTCCTATAAAAGATAACAAATAAAAAACAAAAAAATAAGTTTGAAGTTCAATCTCCTTAGGTAGTTGATAAGTGAATCACTCAAGTTTGGTGAAATGTATTTGTGTTTGAAATGCAAATGATTAAACACATTTCAAGATGAACTTCAAACTTAATTCACTTCCCAAACCATGGTATTCTTCTTCCCAAACATCATAGTAAAAGAATAAATACAGTACAGTTAAGCTGAGTAGCTAAAATTATCATTAGTAAAAGAATAACAATAATCTAAAGTCTGCTTTTAAAAGAACATAGTCATTTGTAAAGAAAAAAAGCAATGTTCAGCTCTCTTTTTGTGTGGTTTACCTAGAAATGAATATTCTAACCCTAAAATAATTCACTGTACAGTTAGGATATTGTATTCTAATCCTAAAAGAATACAATATCCTAAA